ATGAGCTCAGACCCTAAAATCTTCAGAAACAACACAAACAAGGTGGCATGGCATGAACTTGCAATCTCAGTGCTTTGGATGAAAACAGGATGCTAGCCCACCTAGCCTAACTTGGGAGTCCAGTTCCAGTGAGACCCTGTCAAAAAGGACAAAGTGGATAGCTCCTGAGGGACACCCATGGTTGTCCTCTGTTCACATAAGTGTGTATGTGCATTTGGACAAAATGAAAATACATTAAAAGCCACAATGTATATTATAATATGCCATCCTACATGGCTCAGAGGTCCTGTCTGAACACTGAAGCCAAGGCTCCAGCAGCCCTTACAAGTATTGCTTCAGCTGGGTGGTAGTGGTGCACGCCTTTAATCCCAGCACTTGGGAGGCCAATCTCTGTGAGTTGGTCTACAGAGTTCCCAGACATCCAGAGCTACACAGATAAAAGTCTCTGGGCTTGTTACCCCACCATATTAGCTGCCCTTGGTCCTCCAGATAGTTATCTTCAGCAGATAACAAGGACAAGTTTTAAGCCCCCATTTCTTAGTCCTAGTCTTCAAAATCCTGCTTCCAACTCTGTTAAGCAGCCCAAGGTACTCACTCTATCTTTAACCCCAGCCCTCTTGAGAATTGGTTTCTGCCTCAGCCTCCATTGGCTATTTTATAGGTTTAACTGACTCTAGGGCCAGGCAGGGGCAAACATATTATTCCAACTGAAGACTGCACATGTGCCAGGCATCTGAACCTTGTCTGCCCTCCCCAAACAATACAACATGCCTTGAAAAAGCCTATGAGGGTATGCACATAGATTCTAAGCAAACAACATGCCACTTTACATGAGATTTGGGCATCCTCAGATTTGTTCCTGCAACTAGCATCACCCAAAGATACCAAGGGTTGACTGCTAACAAATAAGGAAGTCCCCTAGTCTTTGTTTCATGTCAACGTAACAAGACAGAAAAACAAGAAACACATAGAGGTTCAAAGCCAAAACCGCATTCCCGACACACGAAGAGGCAAAGGAGCAGCCAGCATACCACCCCACACCCCCATCACCTCACGGTGCAGGCAAATGGACAGGCAGCTGCATGCAGGAGGCCACTGCAGCTCTGTAACCTTCCCCCCTATCAAGCTAGGGTGAGGTATTAGAACAGCAGAGAAGGGGACAGAAGGCCCCAGCCATGGTTCCCCATCTCCCACCAGGGACTAGCTACGGCCAGTCACCAGCTATGACACAAAGACACTTGACAGCATCAGCTCTACACACAAGTCTAGTTTATTATGGCAAAGGTGAAAATGCCACCTTCTCCACAACAACAACCAGTAAAATTTATCCCAAAAATAACTCGGTACAAAACAGGTCTGTTTCAGAATTAAAAAAAAAAAAGAAAAAAGCCTTTACATGAGTTTTTAGATCCTATTTTAAAACAGGAAAATAAAAGAGAAACGAAAAACAAATCCACCATTGTCTGCAGTCCAGTTGCCAACCCTCCCTCTATAGCGATCACGGAAGAGGCTTCTGGGTCCTGTTACTTGTGTGGATTTGCTCGGCTGTTTAACTGGTGTCCATCTGAAAGAGAAGGAGAAGATAAATTAAGGAAGGGTTCTTGTTCCTACTGGCTTCAAGAGTTACCACAGGCTGTCATTCAACCCCACCCTCTCTGAGCCCTGGACTTACCCTTGCATTGTACGCATCCAGCTGTGCATCCAATTCCTCCGCAGAAAGCTGCTGCTTTGAGTTTCTGCTGGCACCTCTACCTCTTCCACGGCTGCCACCACGGGTGCCTCTCCGGGTGCCGCCACCACCAAAAGTTCCAGAGCCACGGTTTCTTGTCATGCCACCTCTGTTTATGCTAACAAAGAAAAACAGAATGCTGCCATCTGTCTGCAAAGGCCTTGTAGGTGGCATTATCTATCACAAACCACAGGCCTTTCCCCATCCCCAAGGGCCCTAGCACTTACCTTTGTGCAGGTCTTCTCTGTGTATCAATTTGTGATGTGACGAGTTGAATGTTCATGGGACGGCCTATGGTAAAGAATACAACAAGTCTCACTCCAGAGGCTCTGAAGCTGACCCAGAAGGCACCACACCCTGGTCTCCATGCAAGCTCTAGAAAGGGCCTTTGTGTGTCTCCAATGCCCCCAACAAGGTACAAGGCCTAGAGAGCCTGGTGGGAAAATAAAGTGGCAATAACACCCCACCAACACCTCCTCACTCCTTCTCAGTTCAGGCTAAGAGGGCTGTTTGGTCAGGTGTCCAGGGTGCTCATGGGTGGACAGGTGTGGGTAGCCTGACGGAAGAAGAACAGGTACCTTTGTCTTTACGACTACAGCCCCGCACTCAGGTTGTACTATGGCGGTTCTGAGAAGGCTTCACAGAAGTGAATCTTCCGGAAGGAGCTGAAGGAGGGGAGGGATGTAGCTTGCTGGATGGGGGTTCACAAGAGGTTGGTCCAGATGTGTGGGGCAGCATGAGAGGTGGCAGAATGGAAGAGAGAGACAAAGGGGCAAATGCAAAGTGTCCTCAGCCACAGGGGCAGCCCATATTCCTACAGGGAGAGGTGCCAGCCCCAAACTCCGTAAGCCCCAGGCATCCTGGGCCCAGCCCCATATACTCACCATCTAAAGGGACACCATTGTACTGTTTCATAGCCTTCAGGGCATCTGCCTTCCGTTCAAAGTGCACATCTGCTGTCCCTAAACTTCGGCCAGAGCGATCGTAGTGCACGGCTGCTTTCTTCAACGTTCCAAACTCTGCGAAGAGTTCCTGGAAGTGGACAGGGCAACTGTTAGCCAAGCAGTTAAGCTGTTTTCCCTCTAGAGGCTCAGTTCAGTAGCTGTGAGGGTTCCTGGGTGCTACTTTACTGACCACCACCCAGAAAAGGGGCGGGGCAGAGGCAATCAAGAGGTGAGGGAAGGGTGTCACTTTGAGCACCTGGGTTCCTGTCCACGTTGGGACGTGTGTGACTGTACCATGATGCAGGTGAAGGAAGCACACAGAAACTACCTCTCTCTCAGCAAGGGCACTCACAACCTGACTAATGGCTGTTTCATCAGATAGCAAAGGCCAAGAGAAAAACCAAGGGAAGCTGTTCATAGAGCAGACAGCTCAAAGGGCCCACTGATTTGGGGAGCTGTGACCCAAGCCCCTCCCCCAAAGGCAGATTCTGGCTCACCTTTCCCTCTCCTCCTACTCAAGCCTGCTGCAAAGTCTGAAGTCAAATGCGCCATGGAGACTGCCCTGACCTCAGGCAGGCTGGGAGTTGGAGAGGGAACCCAGAGTGTGGGGCTACTTCGGCCGCAGGCACACAGCGGGAAGTGAAGTTCACCAAAAGCGGTTTCCAGTGGATGCCAGAAACCACCTTAAAAAAAGTGTGGAGACACTGTGAGTGCTCACTGGCCTTGCTCTATGCTCCCTGACAAGGCCAAATGGCGGGGCTCTGAGAAAGGGAACCCAGAAAGGCCCAGCACCCATGACCCAAAACTAACTCCTAAAAACCTGCTCTGTTAACTCTAATTGCATTTGAGGGCCAGAAGAAAGACAGAGAGAGGGAGAGAGGATAGAGATGGGGGGGGGGGGAGAGAGACAGACAGACAGACAGACAGACAGACAGAAAAAAAGACTTCAACCAAAGGTATGAGAACAATGCCCCTGGTAAGACCCAGGAAAGGTCAGTCTGGAAGACACACAGCCACCATTCACCCCTGTGCCTTCAGACATGTGGGGGTGGGGAGAGTTTTCCTTCTCATAAGCTTACTACTACAGGCACAAAGCCTGAGAAGCTAGCACCCTCGGTCACACAGGGACCGGACTTGTGGCCAGTCTGTGCCCGTTAGAAACTGTAAGCCTTGCAGACGGCAGGTGCTCGTGACGTTAGCAGACAAGAGCCACTCTGGGGGCACACCAGGCTGCCTTCCAAGCAGCCTGACCTATCAGTCACATTCAAACCCCAGGGGATACTACTTTTTGTGAGGGCAGCGGCTGGCCCTTGGGCAGCCTGGGGGAGCACAGGCTCTGATCAGAAGGGATTCTGTGTGTGGGGATAAGCATGCGGACGGCTCTGGTCTCTTACCTGAATATCTGCGTCTGACACTCCAAAGTCAAGGTTTGACACCAACAGTTTTCCGCCGGTCTCCACGCCGGCTCCACCCCCGAAGCCGCTGTCGAACAGATCGTGCTGCCATTTGTCTGGAAGTTGTTTCGGCTGAAGGGAAAGAGAGGTTCGTGAGCGACCTCGTCTCGGGCGCCCCGATCCCTCCCCGGCACTCACACTCTCTCTCTCACGGCGGCCCGAGAGCCCGGAGGAGAC